ACTAAGGAACCAGGACAAATGGCATCGTGCCATGAATCCAGCTCTAAAGAGTTGTGCCAGATGTTTCAATCCCTTTCCAAAACCAACTTGTCCCCTTGCTCTTAAAAGGAAGGCCCTGACTTCCCCGGATGTGAAAGGCTACCTGAATATCTCCACCCACCTCTGGCCCCGCTCTCCTTTAAAGGAGTTTTAAGCTACCGAGCTCCCCACGTGGAGGAAACTGCCAGCGAGGCTCTTTCAATTCCCTGAATTTCCCATCGTACTGCCCTCGGGGTTTCTGAGTGTGCAGGGAAAGACTGTGCCACCGGAATCATCTCATCTATCTGCCTTTGCCTTGCAGAAGCAGGGAAGTCAGTCTCACTTTAGTGAGAATCCGTCCCCATGCCCCGCACCGTGCTCTCTCTTTACATGAATTACAATGAACAGTTTATAGTTGGCTAGTTCACATTATCTAGTACAGTGTGAAAAGAACATTTTCTAGTAACTTCCTTTGTCAGTTTTGACACTAAAGGATTTCTGACAGAGGACCGGATAAGGGAACAGGACGGGAAGAAGAAAGGAGGGCACAGATGACCCCAGGTTCAGCTATGGCTTTGGGAATCTGCCTGTTGGAGGCACACGCATGGGACTACTGCGACCACAAAGCCGGCTGAAGCCAGCCCAGATGCTAAGCCCAGGGACCCAGGGGAACGTTATAAACTCAGGGGTAACCAGAACAGCGTGGAGACTCTGTGAACAGACACAGAAATATAAAAATGTCATGATATGGGCTGGGTGTGGCTCTGTGGTAGAGTCTTGTCCCACATACACCAGGCCCTGGGTCCAATCCTCACCACTGGAAGGAAAAAAGAGGGTGTAACAACTTGTAAGTTGTCCACAATTAGTAAATAACTTTATACCTGTGGGGAGGGAGAGTCACTGTATTTAAGTTCATCATTTTATACAATGATATAGGCTAATACATTTCTTAAAGGAAAATTGATATCATATACAAAGTTCACAAAAGAACAAGTGAAAATAATAACATGTAAATAAACTAGCCTCTTGTAAGGTAAAATGTCAGTATACACAGGCAATGCTCTTTTCCATGGAGACTGACAAAACATGCATTGCTCAGGATCTGGGGGAGTGGTGCCATCACACTGGGCACAAGAACAAAGTTGTGTGGTCTTGCAGGAAAGGAGCTGAGCAAAATATTGCCACACCCAATGAGTGCAGTGCCTGATGGGTCCAGGATTTTTACTTCTCTAAAAGAACCAAACAATCTTAATAACATGTATTTCCAGTAATTCTCACCATGTTCTTTATACTATAATAAAGATTTGGAAAGAACTTAACTATCTTATCAGGAAAGAATTAAGTTGCAGTGTGTTCCTGAAATGGATCTTGTACAGCTGTTACACAGAATGATGTGTAGCAGATGATGGTAAACTAGGCCTAGGGTCAACTCTAGCTCACATTCTGATTTGTTAATAAAGTTTTATTGTCACTCACCCAGCCACACTCATTAACTTATATGTAAGGTGCCATATAGTTGCTTTTTTTCTTACAGTGGAAGGATTAAGTAGTTGTAGCAAAGACCAGATGACCAGTGGCTTGAAGCATTTATTATCTTTTACTTTTTTTGTTTTTATTATTTCTTTCATTCTTTGAGATTAAAGTATAATTACATTATTTCTCTTCCCTTTCCTTTCCTCCCTTCAAACTCTCCCATATTCTCTTTCAAATTCATGATCTCTTTTTTATTTTTAACTCATTTTTGTTTTTATTTTATATGCATTGGTGTTTTGCCTACATGTATGTCTGATCTTGTAGTTACAAATAGTTGTGACCTGCCATGTGGGTGCTGGGAATTGAGCCTGAGTCCTCTGAAAGAACAGTCAGTGCTCTTACCTGCTGAGCCATCTCTCTAGCCCCTCATGATCTCTTTGTTTTTTCACTAATTATTGTTATATATGTATATGTATTTTTATATATACATATGTACATATGTATTCCTCAATATATAAATAAGTCAATAGAATGTTGTGTGTACATATGTTTTCAGTGTTGACCATTTGGTATTGGATAGCCAATGGGTGTGCTCTTCCCTGGGGAAAACTGTCTCTAGCTGTCAGCATTTCTTAGTTGCCTGTCATTCTTTGTGCAGGGTTGAAGCCTAGTAATCTTTCTCTATCCATGTATGCTGCTGTTGTCCTTGTTCAGCTCATATTTAGGCCGTCATGTTGGTGAAACTTGATGGGTGTAACTTCCGTCATTACTAGAAGACACAATATCACAGCAAACTCCCTGATCCTCTAGCTCTTACAGTCTTTCCACCCCCTTTTCTTCAGTGATCCCAGATTCCTAAGGGAGTTGTCTTGTAGATGTGTCCACTGGGACTGAGCTCTGTGACTGCATTCTGATTGGTTGTGGTCTTCTACTATGGTCTCAGTGTGTTGCAAAGAACAAGTTTCCTTGATAAAGATTAAGAACTCTACTCATCTGTGGGTATAAAGACAACTTTTAGACTGTAGTTAGGAATTACACTGGTTTAGTGAAATGATAGAATGTAGAATCTCTTTCATTATCTGTGACATTGCTAGCCCTGGGTAGAACAGACAAGTTTTGAAAAGTTCTCTGTGACATGGAGTAGGAAAAATCAGGGTCCCAAATCACATATGCAGTGTTATTCCTGATGTATAAAATGCTGTAGATGGAAGATAATATGCTAACATCTGTAAGTTGTGTGACTTCTGGGTGTTTTTAAAACCTCTTCACATTTTATGTATTTTCTGAATCATAAATGGACAACAAAGTTATGTTTTTGAATTAAAAAGCAAACTTGAGAGATATCTACATAAAAAATGGATAAATTATACAATGAAATTTTGAGCAGACAGAACTTTAGCTGGTAACTCACACAAGAAGAAGCAGCTGCTGAGTAGACAGAGAGATCCCTCACAGATCTGCAAAACTCTGTTTAAATTGTGCTGCATTTTAAATTATCAAACCTTACCCCCCCCAGATACTGATGGGGGGGCAAAAGAAACTATTCATGAATTTCTTGATGGGCTTATAATCTGTAATTTTAGAAAATAATATGACAATGTTTTGGTACTCTCCAATATACACCTTTAATGTACACTTCTAAGATCTTCCATTTGGAAAAGACTAGATACATTGAGCTTTTTGAACAGCATAAAATAGTTTTGGCATAAATGGATTCAAATGGTATCTTGGTCACTGTTCTATTGCTGTGAGAGACACCACGATCAAGGCAAGTCTTATGAAAGAAGGCATTTAACTGGGGGCTTGCTCACAGTTTCAGAGAGTTAGTCCATTACTGTCACAGCAGTGAGTGTGGTGGCATGCAGATGGATGTGGTTCTGGAGGAGCTAAGATAAGAGTTCTGTATCCTGATCCACAGGCAGAGAGAAACACTGGGCCCAGTATGGGCTTTTAAAAATCTCAAAGCCCACTCCAGTGACACACTTCCTCCCACAAGACCATACATACTTCAAAAAGGCCACATCTACTAATCCTTCTCAAATAGTGCCTTCCCCTGGTGACTAAGCGTTCAAATATATGAGCCTGTGGGACCATTCTTACCAAAATCACTACAAATGTAAAACCTGTCAAGGATTACATTTAACATGGAGACAGATATTTCTGCAAGTCAGTGCTAAGGTGATATGAACAATGGAGATGGGAGGGTGATACAGACAGCAGCCCCTTAGTCGCTTGTAAAGTTTACCCTGTACTTGGCAAACACCACACAGTAGTTCCATCTGCCTACTCACTCTTCTGTAACTGCTAACAACAGCTTCTGTCCACACAAAAAAACCTGTGTGAGTGTATGTAATGATTCTTTTCAAAAAGGCCAAACATGGAAAACAACTCCTGTGTCCTCAGTAGGCAAACATACAAGTGTGATTATTCCACAACAGGACTTGGTTGAGTCATAAAAGCAGTGGGCAAGTAAAAGACAGCAGTCTCAAAAACACACTCTGGGAAAAGATATAAGTGAAGGCTGGAGAGCAGGTAAGTGGTTGTACTGGTCAAGGGTGGGGAGGGTGTGACTACACAGGCATAGATCACTATGCTCCTAGGCACAGTAGTCTGTTCTACATCCTACGGCTCATTGAACCCCAGCAAATGTGACTGTAAATTAATTTAAAAATTAAGTTTAAATAACTGCATGGGAAAAGATGGATGATGAGGCAGTAAGAGTACAGTATCATTTGAGAGGATGATACTGTGGACAATTTTTTTTTGTTCTTTTTTTCTTGTTTTCCCAATGTAAATGAACAAGTTATTTTTATAAGTACATATATGTTTATAACCCACCCTTTCTAAGTACTCTGAGACCACAGTGGTATAAGGTTAGCTGAAAGAACATTTAGCCTTTCATCCCGGAATAAGAGCTGAAGACGCTATGCCTCTTGATACATCAGGGGCAGTTAAATTGTGCTCAGGAGTCTGGATGCGGCAGATACAGTGGGCAGTTCACTTTAGGCAGTGGTAGCAATCGTGAAATATGTGTTTGGGGAAGGGGTACTGGGGCTCATGTATGCCTGGTCCTTACTGTCACTGAATTACAGCCCAGCCTTCTCGAGGCACGGCTGACACCAAGTAAATGAAACCACGTCATAAGGTGCCACGTGTAAACGTGTTATCTCACTTGCTTCCATGACTTCTGTCTTCCTAGAAGGTAAGGAGGTTAATGGAAGCATTTCTGTTTACAAATAGGGAACTAAGGCACAGGGACACTCAAGCAAGCAGTGGCGTGAAGCGTCACGTGTGTTTGTTTTTCTCTCAGGAGGCAGGCTGTACTTTTCGGTTGTCTGCTAAGTGTGATATGAATGGTATTATTGGCCCTTTTTTTCCTATAAAGAATTTTAGGGACATCATTTGAAATTAAATACTGGCATATATTTGGGGAGGAAAAAATGTGCTCTCTTGTTGAAAATCCACCAGTGCTTTGCCCATAGTGAGATTTCCACCTGTTTTCTCCACAGGATTTTGTACTGCACCCTGATTCTGCCTCTGTACTACCTCGAACCCTTCTTCTCATACATCTTCCTCAACTTCCAACTCATGGTCCTGCAGGGCCTTCACCTTTACTGGGGTTATTTCATAATGAAGATGCTCAATAGATGCATATTCATGAAGGTAAGTGCTGCCAGTCTGAGCTGTTTCTAAATTGTAGTCTCAATGGGCTCAATACAAGTGAGGTCCAGACAGCGGAGCACCCTGGTCCTTCATCATTTTGTTTGCTTTATTGACGGACCAGGAATAGAAGCTAGGCCCTTATGCTTGTTATGTTCTACAGCTAGGCTACATCACTGGCGCAGCTGGAATAAATGTGAGTGTAAAGCTATGAACACAGTTTTCACCAGAATTATTTCTTTTTATTGGTTGTTTGAGGTACTGGGAATCAAACCCAGGCCTTGCACATGCTAGGGTGATGCTCTACCAGTGAGCTGTTATCTGAATTTTACACTAAAGGTTTCTCTACAGTATAGTCAGATTTTTCGTGAATGGGTCTTTGCTTTAGGGGTTCAGAGTGTGGCTTGGCAGTAGAGTGTGTTTCAGGCACTGAAGAGGAAGAAAAAACTTCATTAGAGGGTATGATATTTGGAATTTTTAACTATTTATGTGTGTATTTTATTTATGAGTGCTCTGTCTTCATGTATGCCTGCATGCCATAGGAGGGTATCAGAACATCAGATTCCATTATTAATGGTTGTGAGCCACCATATGGGTACTGGGAATAGAATCCATGACCTCTGAACAAGCAGCCAGTGCTCTTAACTGCTGAACCATTTCTACAGCTCCAATAGTTGGAAAAATTTTAATTCAAAGGTATGGCTGCTATTTTGAGAATTCCTTGAGTCAGAACTTATTTGTTTTGAGATGTATGTATATATGCATGCATATGTGTGTATGCAGTTGCACATGTGTGTTATATGTATGTGTATGTATATAGCTGCACATGTGTATATATTATATGTATGTGTGTATATGTATGTATACAGCTGCACATGTGTGTTATATGTGTGTATGTGTATATACATGTATATATACATATATGCCTGCACATGTTTGTGTGTTATATGTATACAGCTACACGTGTCTGTGTGTGCGCGTGTGTGTGTATGCAGCTGCACACGTGTATGTATAAGTATACATATGGAGGCCACAGGTCGATGTTGAATGTCTTTCTCAATCACTCTCCATTTCATTTTTTTCTTTTTTGAGATAAAGTCTCTCACTGACCCAGAGCTCACTGATTTGGTTACACTGTTTGGCCTATAGGCTCTGCCTCCTCAGTGCTGAAATTACACATGTGTTCCACTGTTTTGTACAGCTTTTACATGCGTGTTGGGGATCTAAACTAACATTCTCATGCAAACACTTTGCTACTGAGCCGTCTCCTCACTCCCAGATAAGCTTTTTGAGATGGGTGAGCAATATGTCAGAGCCTTATATTTCTCTGTTGAACATCCAGTTTGCATGTAATGCTTTTTCCATGGGCTTGCTTCTGCTTCTGGAATATTGCCCATCATTTGGCTGTAGTTTGTTTCCGAAAACAGCTTTGCTAAATACAGCCACACATTGCTTAACTACAGATCATATTTATAGATGCATTGCTAGATGATTAAGTCATTGTATGAACTCACATAGCCCTAGTTGGTATTGGCTGTTATACACTTAAGCCGCTATATGGTATAGTCTACAGCTCCTAGGGTCAAAATAAGCGCAACATCATGAGGTTAATTGAAACAGAAAATAAAAATGAGGAGCAGTGTTAAACATTGAAATGTATGAGACTGGGCTAAAGTAGCACAGCTACGCCTTTACATTTTGCTTCTATGTAAATATGAAAAGAGGTTCACTCTATGATAATGATGAAAGCTATACAGTAAATATATAAGCAAGTAACATTCATTTATCATCATCAAGTTCTATATATTATGCATAATTGTCTCTGTTATAATTGTATGCACCCAGCAGTATAATAGGTTTGCTCACATAAGCATCACCCTACATAATCAAGTAACATATATGCTTAAGTATCAGGACACCTGCTGCCCCATTTGCTGAGTACCTGTCAGCTACATTGTCATCTTACAGGAATAGCAGGGTATGATGTGATTGGAAATGACCAAATATGGTTATATAAAGTATGAATATAATACAATTTCCTAATATCTCTTGGATTTTTGTCAGTTTACATTTATTTTGTATTTGGTCTGGACTTTAGTTTCAGAAACAGTAAGGACAGGACTTGAGAAATGCACGAGGCACAATCACTGATTTGGGGGAGTAATCCACTCCCTAGCAACAATTACAGTGCATGAAATGGAGTGTGATACACAGTGGTCCCAGGGGGCTGTTATGGAGGCAAAAGTCATTGACCATGAGGGCCAGGGCAGACTACTGAGTGATAGGATTTGAGGTGGAGGTTGAACGCAAGTAAAGTAAGTCAGACCTGTCTTTCTGTGCTAAAGGAACTTCATTAGGTATCTTTCAGGTTGATAACTGGAGCTGGTCCTCTCTGGGTGACACCACATGTGTACAACAGCTTCATCTCACCAATGAAGAGTTACATGCAACAAGTAGCTGCATTCTAATTGGATAAATACATTTTCATCAAATATCATTTATTCATTGTTCTACTTTAGTAAATTTATCTGAAAGGGCCCTGAAGAGTGAACAAATCATAGTCATTGCAGTCCCTGGCCTCTGAGTTCTCAGCCATCTCTTAGCTTCTAGATCTAGAGATCTGAGCCACATCTAGATTAATATTTTTAAAACCAAACCCTGAGAGGTTTTGTGGCTTTTTCCCAGGGGATAGGGTCTTCACTATGTAGTTCTGGCCAGCCTGCAACTTACTATGTAGAGTAGGTTGACTTCAAACTTACAGAAATTCTCCTGCCTCTACCTTCCATGTGGTGAGATTAAAGATACTCATGTCACCACTCCAGGCTGCCTGAAAATTGACATTCCCCCTAAAGCTGGAGTGCCAAGAAATTAACTTTTACTGAATGTTCTAGATCAGTGTTCTAAATCATAGGATTTTAAAGCATTTTCCTCTGAAGATGGCACCTCTGCGTGACAGGCAAAGTTGAAGAGCGGAAATGAGGTTCCAAGCTGGATAGATAAACAACTGATGCTTGTAGTAGTTGACATAAAAAAGGGGCCTTCAGCTAAACCTGTTGTCCCATCTGATCGACCCCCTGGACCTCCTGTCCTTGTAAAGAACGGTCCTTACACTACCTGATGAGTGACAATACCCCAGGCCTGGCAGAAGCCGGGGAGGACCACACTTGGAGGCCAATGGAAGCCCTCGTTTGGCTTCACTGTGACTTTGACAATTCTGATGCCTAATGGGTCATGCCAGGCTGGACCAGCAATGCAGCATCCTGCTGGACTGTGTGCAAGAATCCTTGGTTTCTCATGCCACACTGGGGAAAGCTTTCCAAATGCAGTCTGACAGCAGCGTGGCCCTGCAGCCCTAATTCTTACCGAGCGTATGACTTCAGCTGGCTTGCACATGCTGTCTCTTTTCTGCTGTGGTGGCAAAACTGGCTGTGAAATCAGTCAATTCTTCCAAAGCCATAAAGCCTCCTTTTAAAAAATGGCATTTAAAGGCAGAGTTGCATTGTAAGGGGAGAGAGGAGAGATGAAAGTCTTAGAGGAGCAAGGAAACCAGCTGCCAACTTCTTCAAACGTAGTTAGTGTTTCATGCAACCTTAGTTGTTACTAAGCTAATGCTTGAATATGTTAAAAATGGAATTACAGGAGTTTGTAGACATCCAAAAATGTCTTTTAAGTCTTATAGTGGAGATTAAGAATTTGTCCCTTAAATTCCTTTACATATGGCAGGCTCTGAGAAAGTAATTTTGAATATGCAGAGGTAGGTAATTTTGGAGAAACAAACCACACTATTTTAGGTGTTGTTGTATAACAAAACTTTCTTCCTGGGGAGATGCAACATACATGCCTTTGCCTTAGATAGGGAACTCACAACAGACAAAAGTATGGATACCACCAACGTTCAATTTGGTGAAGCAATGAGTTTTATTAGGATTACTTACAGGAATATGGGTAAGAGGTTGCCTACAGGAGCAGAAATGCTTCAAAGACAGCTGCATCACCAAAGCCCACTCCAGCTGGATGACTGCTCACAAAAGTTAAACTTGGAGATTACTGCACAGCCTGCAGGGAGCTCAATAGGTTGAGGAGTGTCCTTTCCAGGTGCCTCAGTTTTCCTAAACCTCTTCCAGGCATTCGGCTGGTTTCTGCTTCTTGCAGGCAGCTGGTCTGGCCTCAGAGTCTTCTTGAAAGTTTGGCTTAGCTGGGTCTGAGAGGGACTCTCAGCTTTTTTGCTTACTCTGGTAGGGTGAGGACTAGTGAATCTAGTCAGTTTCAGGGACTTCCTAAGGCTATTGTGAGTTGTATACCTCCCTATTAAAGGAGCTTCCTTGCAGGATGGAGTGTTTCAAACTCAGAGGAAAGAATACACAACAGATGGAAAGTTACAAAATAATTATTTACTCATTTTTGGACTCCTGTACTTATATAGCAACCTGACAAAAGGCTAAAACTATCATGCTTTGTAATGGTCACTTTTTCCAATAACCAGAGTCCTTGAATGTACATAGAAAATAACGGATGACCACTATTTGCTTTTGTTCTTTAATAACTTAAAGTAAGACTCACTACAGGACTGGGGGGCAGAGGATCAGTCAGTAAAGTGCTTGCCTTGCAAACAGGAGAACCTGAATTCAATCCTGGGACCCAAATGTTATCAGGCATGATGACACATCTTGTAATCTCAGTACTTGAGAGACAGAGACAGGAGGTCACTTTAGTTTGCTGACAAGTGAGTTTAGCCCAATTGATGCGCTTTAAGTCAATGAGAAATGTGGTCTCAAAGGAGGTGGATGGTATTCCTAAGGATTATGCCAAAGGTTGCCACCTACCTCCTACTGCACATACACTTACGCACCCCCATACACGCGCACCCTTACACACACAAACATGCACACATGCATGAATAAAAAAGAATATAGTTATAAAGTTAAAAACAATGGATTCTGACCATACATAGACAATGCTTAGCAGGCATCTTACTGCTTGAGAACAAGATTTGACATTGAAAC